AAGGGAGACCAGGTTCCCCACTCAGAAAATGGCTTCTCCCCTTTATTCCCAAAAATGTGCTTTTCCAAAGACACACCACACAGGAAGCCTCAGTCACATAACAGATGACCTTCAAGTCCCCCTTTAGACACTGCTGGCCCCTTCCCAGATGAAGATCTCACATGCAAAAGACTCCTCTGGAGACTTCTCAGAGACAATCCTCAAAGCCACCATCATACAACCCCTGGTAAGCCTGAGGCCCACACACAGACTTCAAGATGGAGAAATATGTGTACAAAACCCACCTCCACATACCCTCACAGAAAAGGTGAGACCCTTCCTTACAGCTTGGTGTCCTCACACTGCCACCTTACCCCAAGGCAACCTAGAACCCCAGTCCCCCACTCCCCCTTAACCTTTGCAGGAAAAGTAAGAGAGAATCACACAGAAATCCCTGCAGGAGAATCCATTTGCCTTTTTTTTTTTTTTTTCATTATGGACTAGAGTCAAAATGCAGTGCATAACGGTTTTCATAAAAATTCTTAAATTCTTTATTTAAAAGTTTTGATGGAAATTTAAAATCTTAATAGTGATAGGAATTATTATATGATTTCATCATAAGTACATATCACAAACTCCAGCAGTTCTTAAAAATTCTTATCTTTTTCCCAAACTTACAGGTAAAAGCACCCTATCTTTCACCATTAAGTTGGTACATATATAGGCTTTTCATAAATGCTTTTAACAGATCTTAGTTCTCTTCCAGTACTTTTCTGGAGATGTTTTCTATTAATTCTTTTTATATTTTGTAAACATTTTTAGGTGTTTTTTTATGAATGAGTGCTGGATTTGTCTAATTTTTGTGTGTACCTATTTAAATGATATTTTTTTATTTTTTATTACAATAATATTATATAATACATTAATTGCTTTTTGGATATTAACCCAACATTGCATTTGTTAAAAAAAAAAAAAAAAAAACTACTTGGTCACAGTGTATAATAATTTTTCCGTGTTACTGAATTCAGTTTGTTAATATTTCTGAGAATGTATGTTTCTGTCTTCATATGAGTTATTGATCCATAGTCATTCTTACTTGTGATTATTTTATCTGGTGAAGCTGGCTAATTAATGAACTGGAGAATGTTACTTTTCATTCTACTGCTGAAATTTTGTACAAAGAATTTGTATTCATTTTTATTAAATGCTGATAAAACTTTTTTAAAATAGCCGGGCTCAGTGGCTCAGCCTGTAATCTCACGCTTTGGGAGGCTGAGGTGAGTGGATTGCCTGAACTCGCGGGTTCGAGACCCACCTGGGCAATTTGCGAGACCTCATCTCTACAATAGATAAAAAAAAAATTAGCCGGGTGAGGTAGCACGCGCCTGTAGTTCCAGCTACTTGGAAGGCTGAGGCAGAAGGATCGCCGGAGCCCAGCAGGTCGAGGCTGCAGTGGCCAGGAGAGGCCACTGCACTCCAGTCTGGGTGACAGAGTGGGACTCCAACTCAAAAAAAAAAAAATTTTTTTTAATGAAATAAAGTTTAGTCAAGCTAATGTTAAGACCATTTAGACACTACTAAGAATAAAATGCTTAGAATTTTAGATTTCCACTCATTCCCTATTTCTCTCCCAAAAGATATATGGATGTAAAAAATTAAAGCTTATATAAACATGTGCCTGATAACAAAAGGTGAGGACCTTAGATTCACACAATGTCCCCTAGATTCTTGCTGGTCACTTCTGCAGTATGGCCAGTCTGAACTGCTCCCAGTTGATGATCTCTGAGTTGTGTCTTTTTGACTTTTTTTAAAAAAGATTTCATTTTGGTACCTCCCACTGGAGTTCTTAGTCCTATTTGCTTTCAGTCTTGAAATCCATAAAGTCTGTATGTTCCTTGTAAGATACCAGTACTCTACCTTTCTTTTGTGCCCATTCTCTAGAGGTAAACAAAAACTCCTGGGTTTACTGCACGTTTTTAATTCTTGAGAACCAGGTCACTTACCCGTCTTCCATTCACGCCTCTGCATATTGCTTGCCATGTGTTAGACATGGTAAAAAGCTGAAGTTTCCTAGTAGACTGCACCTCCCTAATGCTATTACAGAAATATGTTCCCTAACACACCTGCCCCAGGAATTCTCAGTCATCTCATACCCATCTCAGTGTTTCAGTCCATCACTCCACATACTCCCAGCCTCACCCCAACCACCTACATCTATTCTGTGACTGGTAGCTGACTTCTGACTTCTGTCAATCTTCTTCCCACCTCCTGCATTCTCTTCTATCCAATTCCGAGGTCTCATATTCTAGGTTCGGCTTTCTTTCTTTTTTTTTTTAGCAGAATTTATTGAAAGGACAGAAAAGCTCCCATAGTGGGAGGGAACCTGAAGGGGTTGCTGGTTCAGTTTTCTTATATCTTAAGTTAGAACTACCATAATTTGTTAATGTTTGTCTTTCATGACAATTGTATTGCTAAAAAGGCTAAAAATTAATCCATGAAGCTCAAGTTTATCAACCCATGAAATCCAGACATTGTTGCTTCTAACAGTAATCGTTTCCCTCTCACTGGGGCAATATACCACAAAATGTACCTTGGAGGGGAACATTGAATTTAAGTGAAAAATTTAATTCTTCAATTTAATTTTTGAAAAATATCCCCATAAACTCTTAAGAGATAAAGCAAACATATGGGATGGTCACCTGGCTATAAAAATGTTTTTATAGATGTAACTTACAGATATAAAAACAAATGTCTTACAGCTAGACTGTAAGTTCTTTCTAGCAATCTGTGCCTTCTCATTTTAGCTTTCATGAAAGCATGAAAGTTACTTTACTGTTATTTTACCATCCCCCCAAACAAAATGTGTGAACTTATATGCAATTGACATATTGTGTCTTAAGCGTGTGACTTTTTTGAAAATGATGTTTAACACTTATACATGGAGCCAGTATTACTATCTAGTTATAAGTAAAACACAATAGCTTTAACCATGTACGCTGTTTGCTTTTAAAAATTAATAACTTGCCGGACATGGTGGCTCATGCCTTTAAGTTCAGCAATTTTGGAGGCCAAGGCAGGAGGATTGCTTGAGCCCAGGAGTTCAAGACTAGCCTAGGCAACATAGCGAGACCTTATCTCTAAAAAAATCAAAAAAATTAGTCGGGTATGGTGGTGCAAGCCTGTAGCACCAGCTACTGGGAAGGCTGAGGAGGGAGGACTGCTTGAGCCCAGGAGTTCAAGGTTGTGATAAGTGGTGATTGTTCCACTGCCATCTGCCTAAGCAACAGAGTGAGACGTCAACTCAAAAAAAATCAAGATAACAGCAAATGTATTTATATTCTTATGTATATATGTATGTATATGTACACATACACACACACACACTCACTCACATACATATGGTGAGAAAGTAAGAGAAATTGGTGATTGAACAAAGTGCCTTCACTCTGAAACTCAGCTCGTCTTATTATATATAAAATATGGATAGTCATTCATTTGAGTTTTTAAATTATGAGTATAAATACATAAAATAATTCAATTTATAATGGTTTTACTCTCCATGAGGTTTTTTCTAATGTATAATTTTTACTTTAATATATAGCACCATTAAATTGACGCTAAAGTTGGGAGTACAATAGCATGTGGGTTTTACCCAGAATAGAAAAGTAAAAATAAGATTTAGAAAATTAAAACTTTGGACCCAGGATTGGATGATGTTTTTCCAGGTAACTCACATGCCAAAGCTGCCATTTCCATCATATTCTTTCATATTGTGCCTTTGCCATTTTCTCCTCTCCTGTTTTTGACACAATCTAGCTGTGGCTTCTTCCCATGATAAAATGATAAAATATCCTCTATTCTTGACCACAAAGACCAAGGTTACTGGGTCTTTAAAGGGGTGCTATCTCCAGCTTTCAGTTTCCTAGATTCCAGTAATATGACTTCTTTTTCAAAATGTTGATCCATGCCTTATTACAGGTCTTCCCTAAAACGTGGTAACAAAGCTCAGAAACAATTTAAGCTATTGGAGGTGTAAACATCGCACACCTTGAAACTCTTGCTCCTCAGTATGAGGATTTGTAAACTTAGAGGCCACATACCCACAGAGGCAAAGAATCCCTGCCACGACTCCAACACCCATCCCAACCCAACCATGCAATTAAAAGATGTTCCTGCAGTTGCCCCCGCCCCCACCCCCGCCCCCCATCCACGTCTTATGGATCTGTCTTCCGAAGGGTTAGACCTCCTGTCTTCTACATCTTCCCCCAGAGACTCGCTCAATCTATGCTTCTCGTGATCCATCAGGAGGTGTGTGAAACACTGGACGTCCACAGTCGTTCTGAGCTTTCTGACACAGACGATGTATCACGGACCAATTTGAACATCTAGAGCCCAAACTGCAACCGGGTTTGCCACGGTCCTGACACGCAGATTTCACCATCCCTGCCCAGCAGAAAGAACGCAAGAAATGTGACACCTAGGCCTCCGCTGCCAGCTTTCCAATTGGCCTGCTGATCGTTCAAAACACTCCTCTAAGTGAACTGACTCAAACAGAAAACCAAATACCGCATTTTCTTGTTCATATGCGGGAGCTAAATGGTCACAAAGATGGAAATCACAAACACTGGGGACACCAATAAGGGAGAAGGGCGGAGAGGGGTTAAGGTTCACAATCACCTATGGGGTACATTCACTACCTGGGCAACGGACCACCTGAGACCCAATGCCTACCGCTACCCAATATGTCCATGTAAAGAATAAGTATGTGCACCCTTTGAATCTAAAACAAAAGTGAAAAAGAAAAACAACACAAAAGACATCAAAAGAAAAAAAAAAAGACACTCCTCCGCCAGGAGCGTCCCTCCGGAAAGGAGCGGGGCGGCGGCCAGTCGCAGAAGCCACGCCCGCCCGCACCTGGGTCGCCAGCCCCGCCCCCGCGCAATGCACGCCGGGCCGCCGCGGAGCCCTACGCCGTCTCCAGGGCAACCAGCCGGCACGCGGTCGTCATGGAGACCGGCGGGCGCTGCGCGAGCTAAGCCGAAGGACCGCCTGGGGCTCGCCCACGCCAAGATGCTCCGCCGAGGCTGTAAGGCCTCGGAGAGGCGGAGACGCCTGAGCGCCAGCCTTAGCTGGCGGCAAGACCAGGCGCTGGGCAGCAGTATCTACCTCCTACGACAGATGGGCCCCACCGGCTTCCTGCTGCGGGAGGAGGAGCCCGAGAACAGGGAGTTCCGAGTAAACACCCCGCTTCCCCGGCTCACTTCCGCCCCCGTCTGGTCTCCCACCTCAGGCCCACCCAGTGTGTCTAGCCCCCTCCCAATCTGATCCCCGCGGGTGCTTCAGCCTCACCCCAAGGCGCACCCCAGCGAGTATCCCAGACTCTCAATACGTGCACACTCCGGATGGAAATCGTACTTGTCAGCAAAGTTTATTTTTTTGGAGGTTAAGATCTTAAATTGCAGCCATCTCTTGTAAAACGACGGTTCTTGATCTTTAGACTTGAAAATGTCACAGGCCTTATATGAATATTTGTTTTACATTAAGTGCGTTCTTGGATCCCTTGTTAGTGGTCACTAGTCCTGTAAATCAGACGAAGTGAAAATTCTAGTCTGCTTACATACTGTAAATATTTGCTAAAGAAATAAAATCGGTTTTCCTTTACACTTCACTTTGAAACTATATCAAGGCCCTACAGAAGGACGGTTTGAAAGGTGATACCTTAGAACTTTGCTGAAAGACCACAGATTTTGCATATTTGCGTATTCCATTCTCACCAGTCAAAAATCAGCAACGGCACTACCTTCCAGGAGTGGACTTAGGAAATTTTAATTTAGTGTCATGCATTTCAAGATCTGAGTAAACTTTACTAGTCTGTGTTTATTTAAAACATTTTTTACTTTGTTGTTTACAGTACTTACTATGTTTAATAAATTGCTTTAGTCAATATAGTCTTAATAAAACTAGTCCTCTAGAATAAAATTAAGTTTAATAGGGTAAGCTCTCCAACTCAAGTGCACCAAACAAAAATTCAAAATGAGCAATCTGACAATAAGGTATTTAGGTCCACCCCAGGGTAAAATTTCCCTACAGTAAGGAATTTATAGGGGTTTTGTTGTTGTTGTTTAGCTTTTAAAATTAGATTTATTTCAGCTGCCTGAGTACAGGACACTTAAAAACCATCTTAATTGATCATGCAAGTTGTTAACCAAGGCAAAGAATAATAAAGTAAGAAAACCAACCAAGAAACTGGTATCAAGGGTTAAGATTTCTCAGTTGCTTCTAGTCAACCTATGGAATCGCCTGAACTAAATATACTCTTCAAATCTCTTTAAGTTATATATCAACTTAATTTTGCACTAACTCTAAAATTTAACTGGTGTGTTTTTTTTTAAGTGTGCATTTTACTTTTAAAGGTTTTTCTAGGAAATCCTCATGTTTGTAACTGTTCCACATTTCTGAAAGGAGGGGAACTTTGTAAGCATATATGCTGGTGAGTAAATTACTTTTTAATGAAGACCTTCCATAAAGGAACATTTTGATGTGGTACATATTTTGCCTGTTTCATGAACACATTTTTCATGGAAATTAAGAAAATGAGGTGTTGGGGGAAATGTAAAAGTAAAATGATCATAGCTTAGCAATAAACTTTTCAGTATTTCATTTTATTCTGAAAACTGAGTAAGGCTTAAACTGAGAAATATTAAAGAAAATCAAGTTTTAGATTCTTATATGTACAAATATGAAATCTAACTATAAGACAGGATGAAAAGTCCTGACTCACATCACTGATGATAATTATTGTTATTATTTTGAAACATTAGTGTGCTTCAACAAATTGTGTTTCCCAAAACACATTTTCTTGAATGTCAATTGTTCCATCTTCTATGCATATACATAAGAATTGAAAGTATTTACCCTTTCTATGCTGGCCTATGTTGGTTGAGTTTCAGAAAAAAAAATTTTCAGTGAACATTTGACTATGAATCTTTCAGAATAGAATTTGAACTCTACTGAAGATTATGTCTATGGTATTTGAAATTTTTCCTCTAGTGTCAGAATCTATTTTTAGGGTAATTAAACCCTGGAAATGAAAAAAAGTTATCTTCCTTTAGTTTAAATCCAACTCAACTTATTTTATTTTGCCTATCTATACTAATACCAACAAAATAGTAATATATTAGTAATAATTTATAATTGATACTTGAGGTTAAAAAACATGAAATTTTAAAAAGAGTATATCTTATATTTCTAATGCTTTTCTTTATGAAAAAAGAAACCCAGTATGTAACCATTATTTCTAATTCTTTTACTTACCAAATTTTTGCTGTTCGTTTTGATCAATTTTTATTGGGCATCTACTAACACAAGTTATTTGCTCTAGTTGACATAAAAATAAAAATATAACCCTTTCACAACTTGCAATTTGTTATGAGGAGTATCCCTAAAATTTTTTTTCTCTTTTTATTCTATGTCAGGGAAAGAACATCCTGTTTTGATGATTATGTACTCATTTTGTACAATATTTTAACCATAAACTAAATGAAATTATAATGTGTTTAATATACTAAAGACTTAAATAAGAACTTAATAGGCACTTCCCTTTTTTTTTTAAAGTCACATTCCATTATAATTGGTAAGATTTGAAAATATTTTTTCTGTTATATATTAAAGTGGTATATGCAGGAAAACTGTCATTTGGTACTCTATCCAGAAAATTATTCTATTTCCAGGGAAGTTTAAAGGAAATACTATGAACACCTAAATGTCCTCACTATCCTTTCCCTGTGAATGACTATATGTCATAAGAATGACCATATGTCTCTCTGACAAATCTCTTTACTACAAATGTCTTTTGTTTTCATTAATCATACTTTTTTCACATATGCTTATTATAAAACATAAGTTTAACTTTTTTCACAAATGCTTATTATAAGTCATAAGTTTAACTACCATTATAACAAGAATTGATAAGAGTTTTATTCATAGCACTTTCAGTAATGTAAATCCTCTCATTCTATTTATATTATAAAAGTTTTTTAATGTCTTTTTATGTGATATCAAAAAATAAATGTTTTCTTTTTTTTAACTTGTAAATATTAGGGTCTTGTTGAAAAAATTCAAGCTTCCAAGAAATCATGAATGTAAGTTTTGTTTTGTTTTGTTTTTAATAACTTGAAGTTAACAAATATAAGAATGTTTTATTTAAATATACTCTAAATTTAGATGGTTATTTTTCTAGGGAATTTGATAACTAAAATTAGTCCAGCTTATTAAAGAGAAGACATTTGGAACAACTTTCTTCATATATAACTTTATATGCCATTTTCAAACTCAAAGTCACTTAATAAAAACAGAGCTGAAACAATGGCCAGTTACTAAGTAGGAAAAAAGTTTTGTATGTATTCTAAGAAAATGGTACTGTCATTTCTAAAATTATTTTAATTGTGAGAAAAATAGAAATGCAATTTTAGGGATCCCAGAAATAGACAGTTGTGGCATGGCATATAATTTCATTCGAAAATATTTACTGACAAATTTTTTTGCAAAAAAATTTATTTGGAGTAAAAAGCAATTTTAAAATCAGTCCTTAAATTGAGTTTAGAGTCAGGCACATGGTTGCATAAGTTTAAATTTCAGAGTTCTCAAATGTATAAAAATAATTTTATTAGAGTATTTAAATTTATACATTTTATAATAAAGATACTGTCATTATGGAAGTATTACCTGCACTTAAGTTGTTTGAGCTATATTAGACCCATTTAAGAAAATGTATTAGTAAATGTTTATAATATTCATAAAGAATTAAAATGATAATCAGTTTTTCCTTTTTAAAAATTCAAAGAGTATCGGTTCTATTTAGGCATGCTCATTTTCCCTGCTATTATATAATTGCAATCACAATAGACATATTTAAAAGTTATATGAGATAATAAATTAATGTATAGTATTTCACAGGGATTGTTATTTTGTTGTCTTGTTTCACTGTATGTATTCTTTTAGAAATGTCTCCAATTGTTGATATCTCCAACTGTTAACTCTGTATCAGTGATTCCCATATCTTATCAACAGAGCAATATGACCAGTTGCCTTCTGGGCAGTTCAATTTGGAGGTCCCACAGCATTTTTAATATCACATTTCTCCCATCTGTGCTTTCCTCTTATATTTCCTACCACACATATTGGCTTTCCTTATTCTCAAAGCTAGAAACCTTGATTTTCTCCTTAATTTTGCCCTTTCATCCTCTTCTCCCATGTAACTACTCATTCTACAAACCCTGCTTATTTTACATCCTACCTATTTCTCAAGGGCTTCTCTCTCTCTCACCATCCTCCTTCTCACCTTTGTTCAGCCTTCCTCAGCCCTTAGTACCATTCTGTATAGCCTCCTTGTTTCCGCTGCCTGTCCTTTGCACTCTCTCCTTGACACTCTAGACAGACAAGAGATTGATTCTTTCTAAAATATCACCCTCTTCTTAACCCTTTCTCTCAATCCCTTCATGTATGCTGACAAGTTCATATGATTCCATACATATTGTTTTGTTTCCTACTTCTCCATTTCATTCACTTGAAGTTAAATGTTGACCTCCTCTCCAAAGTCTTAGTTATTCTCTGCACTACTTTTCCATATCATTTTTACAAACTTCTCTACTAAGGCTGTTCAATAGAAATATAATGTGAGCTACATATGTAACTTTCTAGCAGCCATGATATAAGAAGTAAAAGGAAATGGAGCAGGATAATTTTAATAATATATTTTAACCTAACCTAGAATATCAAAATACTATCATATCAACATATAATCAACATAAAAGTTATGAACTATTTCACTTTTTTCACACTAACACGCCAAAATCTAGTGTGTTTGTTATCCTTAACAATGCATCTCAACTCTGAACTCGTATTTTCACTGGACATTCTTGATCTGCATGTAGACTTCATAAAAATAAAAATGTTGAGTTGAAAAATGGATTTTTATACCCAAATTGTTACAAACATGCTTATACATTTTTGTGACTGTAGATCATCAGATTTAAACCTAAGTTAAGGACACAATTTTTAGTTTAACAAACTTAAATATTCAGGTTTTCTGTCCTACTAGTCAAATTCTAAGTACACAATATCTATATGTGACTAATGGCTATCATACTGAATAGTGCAACTATACCCAATTACATTCAAGAAATATTTATTATACATCATATTAACCAGAAGTTCTGCTAGGTGATTTTCATAAATGTAGTCATATTAATTGCTAATATTTGAAGGTTTTTCATCTACAAAAATAACAATATCATATGCATTAATATGTTATGTTATCTTATTCTTTGCACTTTTTGAGGAAAGAAATCATTCAGTCTATAATAGAGAAATTTTTTATGTTCAAAGTGAATTCTACATATTTTGAAAATATATACTTAATACTGAAATTTTTTTATCTTTGTATTTAAAAGGTTTAATTAGTTAACATTGAGAAAATGTCAAGTGTACTATATAATATTAAAGATATAAAAACATTCAAAGAAAGTAAAAGTCTTGATGATCTTCAAATTTATCATTTAAATGGAAGCTAAAATAAACATACATGAAAATCAAAGTAATTCAAGGAAAGCTATAAATAACTATTCATTAGGATTATGTAAAATATTTCAGTACATGTAGAGAGTATGGTTACTTGGAACAATGGTTGAACATTATTCATAGATTCTGTTCTAATAGAAATCTGGAAACAGTTATCTACATCCTAGTGCTGCATATAAGAAACATAAGAGTGTCTTTCTTTTTGAAGACCTACAAAAATGATTATCCTGGAATTTTATTAAGAGAAATGTCAGTTTTTGAACACTAAATACTCTTTTTCTTGTGTTTTCCCAACAAAAAACCCAGATTTATTACCTAATAGTTTCTTCTAAACACAATGACTAATATATGCCATTCATCCTTTTGTAATTAAATATTTATGAATAAAATAAAACCACATTAAAGAAAATTAGAATTTCCACCACAAAGATATAATAAACTTTTTGTTTCTATTTTCCTTTTACGATTTTACATATGCTTGTCTAATAGTCTGTTGGAGTTCTGTGTTTTTTTTTATCATACACTGTTACTTAATATTTTTAATGCTATATAATCTCTGTAATGAAAGTCATCAATGACTATTATTCCACTGAATATGGTACATCATAAGTAATTTAACATTCTTCCATTAGTAGACATTTAGTTTATGTCTAACGCTTGTCATATTCTTTGTACATGGAGATTTTTTCTCTTGTTCAATTATTTCCTTTGCCTGAAATCTCATTAATTAGGTTTTGGAACAGAAGTGTTATATTTTTATGTCTACTTCCCATATGTACTGCCAAATTGGTCTTCAAAATGCATTTGCTGACTTACAATGATTTAAGCAATATCTCAATTTCTTCAAGTTTTATCTGTTTTTTGAATACATATTTTTGACACATTTTAACCATAGTACTTAATCATACAAAGAAAGACATTAACAGCATATTTAAGACCCCAAAGAATATAAAGACACATAAAATTGTTTTCCCATGTTATTCATATTTCTACAGTTTTGGGGGGGGGAAGACAATCACACAAAGCAGGAAAAAGCCAGATGCAAACTTTACAGTAATCTATTCATTCTCAGTAAATTAAATAAGAAAATAGTTTCTATTCTCATTATGTTAAATAGAATAAGCCAGGGACAGAAAGACAAATATCACATGTTTTCATTCATATGTGGGAGCTAAAAAAGTAGATATCATGAACATGAAGAGTAAATTGATAGTTACCAGAGGGTGGGTCGGGTAGCGTAAAGGGACGGATACAGAGAGGTTTATCTATGCATACAACAATACAGTTAGAAGGAATAATATCTAGTATATGATAGCTCAGTAGGGTTACTGTATTTCATAATAACTTATTGTGTATTTCAATAGCTAGAAAAGAAGAGTTTGAATTTTCCCATCATAAAAATGTTTGAAGTGATGGATATCATACTTATCCTGATTTGATCATTACACAGTGTGTGCATGTAGCAAAAATCACATGTATCCCCAATATGTGTACAACTATTATTTATTTAAAACAAGACAAAAATCAAAACAAAAAAAAACTTCTGTTCTTTCATACATCTAACATTCCTTTACAGAAGCTATAAATGCCTTCAAATAAGTTTTAAATACAAAAGACATAACATAAGACAGACAAAGCAACATTTTAAAATTTATTTTATTGATGTGTATTCAGTAGATTTTATACAGTTTCTGTGCTGCATTCTTGTTTTAACTCACTTTTCCTTGATGCCAATGAAATTTATCATCTTCCATTGCCTTCTTTGTACTTCATGTGAATTGTACTTTGGCTATTTATTAGGATAAAACTCCAAATACTTCTTAAATATTATAAGGATTATTCCTTTTTGCAAATGTTTCCTCTGGCTTTATTAAATTTTGTTATGCTTATGATTTTTTGTGTTGTCAAATCTGACCATTTTTTTCTTTTCATGTTTATTGTTTCAATTCTTTAAAAATTGTCTTTCTTCCATAGCGTTTTAGAATTTTTTTCTACTAGTTTACTATTATTATTATTATTGTTGTTGTTGTTGTTCTTCATTATGGCATCAATGTATAGTTGTGTTTGTACAAGTTAGAGGTTGGTATTTGGTTTGAATTAATTTTCTCCATATTGCCACCCAGCTAACTCAGCAACAGTTATTGGATAGTTCTTCTTTTCCTCTTTGTTTAATATTGTGTGTTATTTAGAGAGTTCTTGTTTATTGTTTTTATAACATTGTGATGTGATTTAACATTAACTGCCTTGCTCTTGTCTTCTGAATGTATTTGTTTAGTCTTATATGTTAATTTTTCCAGATTAATTTTAGAAGAATTTGTTTCTCCCTTTTCTTTTTCAATTCATGTTATACCACATAGAACAGTTTATGACCAGCTCCTTTTATGAAATTTTATTCTTCAGTGTTTCTGCTCTCCCAAAGATTCTTCATTCCCAATAGCATAATCATTTTTTTATTTATTTTCCTCTCCCTGTTTTAGAGATCAGATGTTGCTGTGTCTCTGTGACAAATAGCCCTCTTTCCCAAAGTAGTGGTTAATTAATGTATGCTACCCTCCCACAGTCCACCTGCCACATCACAGACAAGGAACAGAAGTTTCTGTATTGAAATGTAACTGTAATGTTTTTAGCAATTTAATGTCTAATTGAGAGTTTTCCAGAAAAACAGAGCTTTTCAACCTGTAAATAATGTTTAATCTATATGTATTACAGGATGTATAACATAACCATCCTGGGCAATATAGCAAGACCCCATCTCTACACAAAACTAGCCAGGTATGGTGGCACATGCCTGTAGTCCCAGCTACTCAGGAGACTGAAAAGGGAGGATCACTTGAGCCCAGGAGTTTGAGGTTACAGTAAGCTATGATCACACCACTGCACCCTAGTCTGGGCAGCAGAGTGAGACCCTGTCTCAGAAAAAAAAAAAGTGTATAAAATGAGTAGAACTCAGGGAACCAATAACAGCTAGCATTTAAATTATGGCATGTTAAGGAGAGGGAGAAGGAAAGGGGAAAGGAAAACAAAGGGATGGGCCAAGGAATAAAGAATCTAGGATGCCCTGATCAAAACTATAGGCACTTAGAGCACAATTTTCTATAAGGATCGCAGGATAGAGAAAAGTCATAGTTCAAAGAATGTGCACCCCAGTGATACAGGCAATATAGTTGCTAATAATTGTCCTGGGAAGCATGACCAAATTTTGAAGAACATGGCTTCTGAGACTTTTTTTTTGTAGGGACACAAAACTGAAACAGGAAAGTGGGCACAATTGTCTTGTTCTTCCATTATCCATTCATTCATCTAACAAACATTCATTACACCAGTTACTCAGATACCCCTGTTTCCTCGCTATTTGTGCCCCATTTCTTTTAATACTCTTGTATGTTGGGGGAAAAAAATCACTTATGGACAAGTTTTAAAAAATGAAAATGTAAGGCATGATTTTAACACCAGTCCAAAGATGAATGCTGTCATCTCCAAAACCCTTGTTGTGCACTATTTACACTAACATTTTTCAAAAGATAACTTCCATTCTTTTTTTAAATGTTTATTTTGTGACCCTGTTGCTCTGGAAGGAATATGAAGTTGTGGCCAGTATCAGTGTAATAATTCAACCAAAATCATCTCTCTGGTATTTGAAAGAAAATGATTTCAGTATAAGTTATTACATCTATGTATCTCTGATTTTACCACCAAATTTTAATACTTTGGGGTTTTCCATTAGCTGCTTTCCAGTTGGGTCTTGTAGAAGGAGAAATAAGTGACTTATTACGGGGGATACATCGAGTTCAGACTCCCCAACCAGGAACAAATGATGAAAATGCACATGTTGAAGAAGATGGACACACTAAACAGAAGGAAATTGGTTCAGAGGATATCTGCTCTATTTGTCAAGAGGTGCTTTTAGAGAAAAAGCTTCCTGTCACCTTTTGCAGGTGATGTATTTTTTTTAATTCTGAAAAATTCTAATTGAATATGTTTGTGGCTTGGCTCAGTGGCCTGTAATCTCAGCATTTTCTGAGGCGGTGGCAAAAGGATTACTTGAGCCCGTAAGTTTGAGACCAGCCTAGGCAACGTAGCAAGACCTTGTCTCTACAAAAAAATTTTTAAAAGAGCCAGGTGTGGTGGCACGCCTATAGTCCAGCTACCCATGAGACTGAGGCAGGAGGATTGTTTGAGCATAGCAGTTAGAGATTGTGGTAAGCTGTGATCAGACCACTGCACTTCAGCCTGGGCAACAGAGTGAGACCCTGATTTAAAAAGTAATAATTAAAAAAATAAAAAAACATGTTTGTAATTGATAACATTATGAGACATGTTGATAGAAAAATAATAGAAATCTTTACTTACAACCAATTTATATTTAATAGTGTTCTTTTCATTTCCTAACAATATGTTGTGAGAGGGCCTGTTCTTACTCTTAATTATTTCTGAGCTACATTTTTAGAATGAAAATCAAAGCATAATTGCAAAACTGTTTTTCCACCCACTCCAAATAATGAAAGGATAATTTTCATCTTTGTATTTTATGCATATAAATAAATGCCTTGGCTTACAATAATTACAAAATTTTTTCTGAAAGTAAAGATTATTTTACTTTGAAATTATAAAAATTATTTTCAGTTTTACAAAATCTTCTCTCTAAACCTAAATAATTCAAAAATTCACTTATTGATTGTCTTATATTCTCTACAGCACCAAAAAGTTGGGTTTGGAAAATTTGGACAACTATTTTCTATTGATTTTTTTTCTCCTGATTATTTGACAAATATGTCTATCCACACTGTTGTTTTTCATGAGTCTTCTTCTATTGTATATTGTAAAATTAGCTTCCCAAAATATTATTTCTTTCAGCAGATATCTCTTTGGTACTACCAAATATTGAGTGATTTCTGGAAAAATAAGATAGCAACCCTGCTCTCAAGCATTTTATTTAAAGAATAATAATAATTGTCATTATTATGTATTCTCACTTTATAAATGAAAAATAGAAAAAAGATACAAAATTTTCACCATTTTATTGGAATGGCAAAAAATTTGTGTATGAAATTCTGATGTATTAAAGATCGGATAGGTTGTGTGTGTGTGTATAATCAAACTATATCTGGAAAATCATTGCAAAGTTTGTTTTTATGGGGAATAAAGATGGTAGCACAGAAAGTTTTATTTGTATAAATACATATCATATCTACAATGTATATATATATATATATATATATATATATACACACACACAGATATATAAACTTTGCTGTATACAAATGATAAAATTGAATTTTATTTCTAATAGGTTTGGCTGTGGCAATAGCATCCATATAAAATGCATGAAGATATTAGCTAATTATCAGAATATGATATCAAACACTTCCATATTGAAATGTCCTCTGTGTAGGAAAGAGTTTGCACCCATAAAACTTATTTTGGAGGAATTTAAAAACGCTAGCAAACTCGTGGTTGCAGCTGAGAAAGAGCGACTGGACAAACACCTTGGAATTCCCTGCAATAACTGTAAACAATTTCCAGTTGAGGGAAAGTGTTATAAGTAAGTGTCACCAGGAAAATTATGAGTTTGTATTCGTTTTTCTTTTTTTACTTTTTGCAGTCATAAACTTTGAGCACTAGAATACCTGTCATTTAGCCTGCCTCTTCCCAAATATCTTGTGTTTGACTTATGTCATAGCTACTTATTTAGGATTTCCAGACTGATGACCTATCTCAGTCCAGTATCTCAAGAATGCCAATCATTTCATTTTCTTCACTAGCACAAGGGTATTGGCTTTGCACACAGTCTAGGTTGTGTCTGAAGTAGCACCCCATCCTATAAGTTCTGGATACAGGTTTGGTCATTTGGCCTAGATAAGTTTTCAAGCTGTAAAGTCCTGCTGAATCTCTCATCTCCTCTATCTTTCTTTAGACTACCAATGGAGTCATAGTCATTACCAAAAACTCATAAGATTTGAGTCAGAAGGATGTTGACTAAATTGACTGAATATTTAATCCAGTTCCCCCACTCCAAATTACAATGAGTGTGGGTTTTGTTTTCTTTTGTATCTTATATTTCAACAATAACAACAAAAACAAAGTAATTATTAGAGCAAACAATTTGTACTACTTTTGTAACCCCCAAACTTCCCAATTGCCACAACATAATTGCTGTTTCTGGGAAATTATGCCTTTTTAAATAAAAATTTAAGCTAACACTATATTAAGAAAATATTTTGTTTCAATCTTTGTTAATTTTTTTTTTTTTTTTTTTTTTTTTTGAGTTGGAGTCTCACTCTTGTCGCCCAGGCTGGGGTGCAGTGGCACACTCACAGCCACTACAGCCTCGACCTGCTGGGTTTAGGTGATCCTTCCGCCTAAGCTTGCCAAGTAGCAGGAACTACAGACACACGCAACCATACCCAGCTAGTTTTTGTGATTTATTATAGAGATGAGGTCTCACCAAGTTGCCCAGGCTCATCTCAAACCCCGGGCTCAGGCAGTCCTCTCACCTCAGCTTCCCAAAGTGCTGGGATTACAGGCATGAGCCACTGCACCTGGCCTAAAACTCTTTAATGTATCAGTTTACTTCCCAGTCTTCCTGAAATTATACTATGATGAGCCTAGTTTACAATTTATATATAATAGACATATTTAAAACTCTTCCATAAACCATGAAACCTTTTTTATTACCCCCAACAGCAAATTGTACCTTTCTCTACTAAATTTAGTTCTGTTTTTATATGTGTTACACAGAAGAAAATTGTTAACAAAAGTCTTTAATGGAAAATGGCATCTGCCCACTGTACTGCAAAATTCAATTACAAAATAAAACTTGTTTCTATATATTTTTATTGATTAAAATTTAGTTATGCATATAAAAAAAAAAGAAAGAAAATGGCTGCTGGCCTGAAAAGACTCGGAAGGAGCATTCTAACTTGAGGAAGAAACACAGAATTTTTTTCTCCCTTTGTTTTTGTTTTTTTTTGAAAGATGTAGGGTACAAGTCAGGATTAGGTACATAAGTGGTCTATGCAGAAGAAACACAGAATTTTTATAAACATTTAGCAAGAGGTGTTTGGCTACTTTCAGGAATGAGGTTTAAGAGAGTTCTAGGAAAGGAAGGACTTGATCTTTGGTATTAGCAGCTACCACTTGGGCAATTTAAATTTTCTCAAGAACGGCGGATAGGGACAGTATGGGACTAATGTCCCATGTAAAAGAGGGGGCTAAGTGTGACAGCTGTGGGGGACAAGGACATGTGAAGGCCACAGTGTAAAATTCCCAGTTCTTACAATCATGTATTTCTTAAATGGTGCAGCATAGCTTCAGTAGATTATCTCAAAGATGGTCAAATCTTACTTTTAAGTATTTTGTGGATGATAGTGCACTCCCCTGTCACTCAGAGAACTCTGACTTTTCTTTCAGTCCTAGTGTATTATTTTTCCTTCTACCCCTAAATAAACGCATTGTCCTCTGATCCTGCCCCCTGACCACTGCTCTACACACTCCTTTGAGAATGTCTTCTTGTCTTATAACTTCTACTCTATGGATATGGCTAAGAATTATTCCTCTCCTATCTCAATCCTCTTTTACAGATTAAAGAATGCATTACCAACATTTGTGATTTCATCCTTCCAGTCCCTCAATTACTGGCATTTCATTCATCAGCCTGAAAAACTATTCCCAATAGTTTTGGGAATAGTGTGAGTAGGAGACAAGACTAACAAGAAAGCATCTTGGTTCCTTCTTCATTAGCATTTACAATACAACTTCTTCATATTTTAAGAAGTTAATTCCAAAAATATTAGATATGTGTTGAAATATACAGATGCTTAAATTTTTCTCACCCAGCACAGTTTGATATATCAAATAAATTGCAGCATTGCTCTGACCTCTTGGTACTAATTATTAAGAATCTTCCCTGTATGTATAAATAGTAATAGTGAATAAATGAGCACTTGGTTCTTGTAAGATGTCTGAAAAACATACTTTCTCAAAGTGTTCATGGAAATAGTCTTCTCAACTTTTGATAACTTGAATAAGAAAATAAGTTTATTTGACTACTCAGAATATTGTTAGTAAATTTTGCTGCAAGTAAATTAAATTATCTGTGGCAAAATTTTAATAAATGGCCTAAGTTTGAGATTGGGTTTTGCAGGAAGTGTTTTTTAAAATGTATTAATAGTTTTTATTAACACTTTCTATATATTTACCTTTTCTTCTCTCTCTGTGGGGAAAGAAAGAGAAAATAATTCCTATTTTTAAGAATTGTGCTGCTAAGTGTAACTCTAGCACTCATGAAACAATTGGAAAGCAGCACTGGATAATCAAATGAGAGAATATCTAACTGGCGGAGATCCTTTAGGAATTTAGAGAAAGAGATAAATAAAAACTAAGCTAGTCTGGAAAGGTGCCATGGAAAGGGCTTGCAGTGGGCAAAATAATGATCTCCTAATTATGTCCACATCCTATGTTCAAAAGCTTTATGTCAGGTTGCATGTCATAGGGAAATTAAGGTTGCAAATGACATTAAGTTTCTAATCAGATGACCTTGGAATAAAGAGTGTATCCTGGATTACCTGGATAAACCCAGTGTAATCCAAGTCTTCTTAAAAGTGGAAGAGGGAGGTAAGAGAGTCAGAGGGAAATGTGACCATGGTAAAAAGGCAGAGAGGTGCTAATGTTCCTTGCTTTGAAGATGGAGGACAGGGTCACAGCCTAAGAAATGCAGGCAGCCTTGAGAAATTGGAATGGGCAGGGAAATGCATTCTTCCTTAGTGCTTCCAAAAAATAACGCAGCCCTGCCGACTCCTTCATTATAGTGCACTGAGACGCATGTCAGACTTCTATCCTACAGAATTGGAAGATGATGATTGTGTTGTTTAAGCCAATACGTTTGCAGTAATTTTTTTATAGTAGCAATAGGAAACTAACACACAATGTGACTTGAGATGATTCTTGTCATGTTTGGATAGTTACCAGGAAATTTTGGTCAGAATTTTTTACCCCAAGTCATCACAATAATTGAACTTTTCTTGCATGTTTCTGTATTTTGCATTTTTTAGGTGTACCGAATGTATAGAATATCACTTATGCCAAGGATGTTTTGACAGCTGCTGCCACCCTTCTCACACATTTGTATTTCGTGAGGTATAGTACTCTACTCATCTTCACTCTAACATGGTATTTGTATTTGTCCTGTTGTAAACCTAAGTAAATCTAAGAATAGGAAGAATAGATAACGTTCTGGAATACAGCTGATGGGTTTTTAATAAAAATCCAAAACCACAGTTTTAGAACTGTTTTTCATAGAGATACACAAGGCAACCAGTTCATACGTTGGTAATTTACGAAATCAAACACAATAACAAACATCTGATGACACTGTAAATAAATCTTAGGTACAGGAATTGTAGCCATCAAACTTGAAATGTAGTTTTAAAAAAGTTCTCAACATTACAAACTGGCTCATTATATCAAAACATTTATGATTTTCTTTAAATTCAATACTAATGAAACACAGAATTTTATTAAGATCACTTAAAAAGTGTCTCCAGATACTGACTAATAATGCTAACTTCTTCTTACTATACAAGACAAAACATCCACAATTATCATTATTAATATTTTACCTTAAAAATAATGCCATTATGATAGCTATGCAATAGTATATGAGACTTACTAATAATTTATAAATACTTTACTGTGATAAGTAATAATAGATATGTTTAAAAATAAGTATTGTTATTGATAAATAGCCTACAAATTTTAACCCACAAAATAAAAACTTCGTAGTTTGCAAAGTAACATCTACTTTTTTACCTATTACAGAAGAGAACCCAAAGATGGAGTTTACTAGAAAAAAAACCAGAAGAAGTTGTGAAATATATAGATATTAAAAATGAGATAGAAGAAAAGATGCCACATTTTCAAAAAAAGCAAGGGTGAGGTTCTCAATAAAACTTATATTTCTTGTATGACTTGGGATTTTTGAAAAATGTTTTATTTTGAATAAGTTTTATTCACTCCTTTATTTAATAAATATTTACTGAGCATGCAGGTAAAGAGCAAGCCTCTGGATTTGGACTGCCTGATTCCAAGTTTACTTCAGCCACATGTTGTCTATATGACTTTTGGGCTGCTCTCTCCCACATTTTCCTCATCTTTAAAATGAGGATAATTGTAAAACCAAGATCATAGTAATTTTGTGAGTATAAAATGAGTTAATACAGTAAATATTTACATAAATTTATTTATTATTAATTTTACTAGGGATACAATAGTTTCCTCAGCAATCAAATGGTCAGCTAAATAAATGTAGAATTGAAACTGATATACATCATATACATACAGGAGGATTTGAGATTTGCCTTTGACAGAATTGGCCTTTTAGGGGAAGGAATTCTTTTCTGCTTCATTTCACCTCACTCTCTAACCCCTATTCCATCCTTATAGAGGAAGAGAGCTGAACAAACTGATCAACCTTAAGAATTGATTGGGCTGTTCACTAATGGGCAGGTCTCTGTACCTTTTGCCATACTTCTTTGCAATTAAAGAAAATTAAATATGCTGTATATTATTAACAAATTATGTGCATTATAAAGCACACAAGGAATTTTTTAATGGAATAAAATTGAAATTTTAAAACTTCAGTGTATTAACCAAACCCCAAATTGTACTTGTTCTCACTAAATATCTATATGTACATATAATACATACATTATACACACACATATACATCCACACATATCTAAGAGCTTCTATCCAAACCTCTTTGGATACTCCACACACTGTAGAGACCAGAGCTTTGACGGGGTATAAAATGAGCCCATATAGAGGCTCTGGAACTCCTAACCAAGTAACACACTTTATATTATTAGAATGAGAAGTTGTCTAACTAAGGGTTGAATTTAGGAGATATTGAGGGTGGGGAGTCAGAAGAGAGAACATTAGGGGAGAAAAGATGAATAAGTAAAAGAAGGAGTTTCAAAATAAAGAGAGGATAACAACATTGAAAGAGTACTAAAATGCACATTTTTCACTGAAATTAGATGATCTTGGTAAAAGCAATTTCTGTTGTATGATGGGAATGTATCTGTAAAGAGAAACATGAACTTTTCTGAAGAATAACTTCAGGAAACTTAAACTTTAAACTTTGTTCTGAGTGACTTTTGAATAATGGGAATGCATCTGACCCTTTAACCAAATTATTAAAAAAAAAAAAAAACTGTTTTGCTAGTTGCTAATGGCATTAAGTAGCCATTAAAACATATTATATCACATTAATTCTGTTGGCCAGTATTTTTGGTACAAAATTGAGGTTGGTACTTTTAGAGTTACATTAACATAGTCAAATATATTGAAGTGGTAAGTATGTACGCCAAGAGAAAATAAATTTTCTCTTAGCTAGTGATCTGCCAGTTTACTGTAGTTGCCTGGAATATTTCATATGGTTTGCTGTACACTTCACTTCAGAGTGAATTGGATTATATTTTTCTGAACACATGCCTAAGTGTTGCCTCAGACTGAAATAATTTGTATATATGGTTCTCATCAAAATTTTGTGTTAGTTTTATTGATATTAAAGTGCAAATTAGCCGGGTTCAGTGGCTCAGCCTGTAATCCCGTACCTTTGGGAGGCTGAGGTGAGTGGACTGCCTGAGCCCGCGGGTTCGAGACCCGCCTGGGCAGCGAGACCTCATCTCTACAATAAATCAAAAAATCAGCCGGGCGTGGTAGCGCTCACCTGTAGTTCCAGCTACTCGGAAGGCTGAGGCGGAAGGATCGCCGGAGCCCAGCGGGTCGAGGCTGCGGTGGCCAGGAGCGGTCACTGCACTCCAGTCTGGGAGACAGGGTGAGACTCCAACTCAAAAAAAAAAAAGTGCAAATCAAAAAATTTCAGGTTAGTATTTTTATTTAATATGACTAAAACTTTGTTCTTTATAAAGTTGAATCCATCTTGTTTAGGATTGATACAGTAGATTTACTAACTTTATAATGTCAGAGATTTTTTACCTTTGATTCAAGAAAACTTTAGATTTGGTTGTGTTATATATGTAGAGGTTATTTACCTGTGTTGTTGATTACTTCCTGATCTGTAATAACATATGAACATCCATGTCTCTCTGCTTACTCTCCTTCAGCCAGGTTTACACACCAAAATATATAGTAGAGTCATTGCGTCTCCTATTGATTACAAAGAATAGCAAGCTGCTTGCTCCAGGCTACCAGTGTCGACTTTGTTTGAAGACATTTCATCTTGGTCAACACGTAAGATTGCTACCATGTACTCACAAGGTAAAAGGCGCATCATTTTAGCTTGACTTTCCCTCATAGGGTCATTTTTCAGAAATGAAGTGATGACTTAAGTCTCTCCTATTACTTTTTTAGTTGTATTATGTGCAGTGTTCAAATTGCACAGTAAATGTAGAACAGCTGCAGCGTAGACTATTGAGAAGCAGCCCTGCCCCGGAGGATGTATTCCTATTGATCAAGACTCATTTCTGCCTATACTATCTAGAAAAAATAAAGTGGCACCTTAAGCTAGATTCTTATACTTACTTTAGTTATTTGTAGAAATAAAAAGCTTGTAGAATCTATAGAAAGACAAAGCTTATAGAAATTTTGCTATGTATTTTATGCTGCTTTATATGAAACACAAATGCCTAAATTGACAGTTACTTTTTATTTCATATAGACTCACTAGAATCAGTCTAATGCTTGATCATATATAGATGATAACTAAGTTTTTTCTGAAATACAGTTGTTTTAATAAACATATATAGCTTTAGTCACTCTTACTTAAAATGGCTGATTGTTTTCTTTCTAAAAATGTGATTTGTTATTTTATATCTTATTGTCCTCAGATCCAATTTCAAATCTAGTTGGTTATGACATTTTTATTTTGTAATAAATTTCATTCATTAGAAATAATTAGGAAGCAGTGAAATTAATAGTGTAAATAAGTAGTGAGTTTTTAACACTATTATAAAAGTGATATCCATAAAAGGCTTTGCATTCTAACATTGCAAATGGAGATCACTCCATAAGCCAATTATAAATGAACTTTTAAAAATATTTTTATAAAAACTGATAAATTATAATTACCTTCCATTTTTGCTGGATAGTTTTAATAATCACATGATTATAAAACTTGGAAAAATATCTATAAAAATATACATTGTAAACAAGGTTATTATACCTCTGATTAACTTACAATATTTTTTTAAGTTTCACAGGAAATGTATTGACAGTTGGTTATTCTACAAGTGCAATTCATGCCCTATTGATGGACAAGTTATATATAACCCTTTAATCTGGAAAGATACAGCAAAGAATGGACAAGCACATCAGTCTGTTTCAAACACAGACATCATTCATTCATTAAAGCAGAAAGAAACAGAACTTTTTATTCCTGGTACTGGATTAGTCTTAAAGCAAAATAAAGTTGGAATTTTACCTAGCATACCTCAACATAATTCTAAACAACAGATTATAACTCAAAGTCCAACAGAAACCTGTCAGAACTTAACAACACATGATCTGTGCTCTATCAAATTAGATGATTCAAATTCAAGAAAATTAATCTACGAACGCAAAATTAGCCAACATTTTCCCAGGTATCTTCAAGATTTACCCACTGGATCATATGGGAAAATATCATCGCAAACATTTCTTCCTTCCATTGCTCATAAGAATATTATTTGTCCCACTGGAATGGAAAGCCTATGTATCAGTGAGAGATACCACACTGGGCAAAGCCAGAAGATGACCAAAGGCTATAAACGTAATAACCACAAACTAAAGATGACTCTTGGTACTAAAATAAGAGAGAACAACAGATCTAATTCTTTACTTCCAGAGAATTTAAGTCTTATTGTCAATTGGGGTACAACTAAACTTAGTTTGTCTAGAAGGTATAATAATTGTATGGGGAAAATTAGACACAAATGTAGTCATCCATCACACCCTTTAAATACAAAAAGTACAGAGCTATCTTTAATGTTGGAAGGAGTTCAGTTGTGAAAAATAGTTTTGTTATATCAGAAAATATTTGGATTTTAATGTTAAAAAATATTGTATCTGTAGAACATTAAAAGTATATATATTTATATATATGCTCTTGACAAATGTACATAAAATTTTCTGTGATCATTTTGTCTATTGTCTATGAATAACTCACTACACTTAAAGGAAATTATTCTATTACTTATAAGACTTAAAGCATGAGTGTGTTAATGAGTGTTAAGGATGTTATAAATTAAGAAAAATTTTAGAGTCTTTATATTTTATTTTATGCTGATTTAAAAAATATTCTTCCTTAAATTAAGAAAATAGATTTCCCCCGCTTTAAGTCACTATTTTAAAATTTTTGCCTGATAGTGTATAACATGCAGGGATTATTTCCAGGGTCTTTGTATTTTTTGCATTTTTCTTGTATAAGTAATTACCATACACACACAGGAAAATCCAGATGGTGGTTTTTGTTGTTGTTGTTGTTGTTGTTGTTGTTTTGGGGGGGAGGGGTTGTTGTTTTTATATTATTCCCTTTAAGGAGTTTCCTTAAACAGGTAATGAAAAGTAAATAGAATACTATAAGCTATTACATATATATAATGGTTTTACTGTTTTATTTTTAAGAAACTTATATTTTATAAGTACTACCAAATTTCTTGATACAATCACTATTAAAGCATCTGTTTTTTAGAGCCTGTTCTGTTTTCAAATAATCAACTATTGTTTCAAAATGGTCATTTGAAAAAAATATTTTATTTTAAATTCTATGACTCAATAGCTTTTCAAATATTTTTAAAACATTTATATCATTGAGTTTTATTATCTGTAACAGAAAAAACTTCATATGTTATTTTTGTCATAATGATAATGAAATGCAGCTGTTCTGTGAAATAAATTTTGAATATATCAAAGGTCTTAAAATAGCATTTGAATTTTAAGATGATTTATTAAATTGAAATTAATCACAAACAGAAAGTAATTACTAAAATATAGTTCAAAAATAGTAACTGAGAGTTAATTAGGAATGAGCTGTTTTTTAAAACTGAATGAAAATTTGACTTGTTTCTGATATACAAATATATATATTTGGATGGCTAAATATATTTGGCAAATATATGATCCAGAATTTTATCAGCCTATTTGTTTTGAATGATAGGGCTAAGTAAATAATTTTCCAGTTAATCAAATATTATTTATGTTCTCATAGACACTCTACTCCCCTTCTTAAAAGAATCATTCAAAAAAGAAGGATAAAAAATGCACTACTAAACAAAACATATGAAAGAGCTATAAAAGAAGAATATGAAATTGGAATACGAAGTCAAGGAAAAACTATAGTGCTGTAAAATTCATTTTTAGTTATAATTCATTTTAACTTAGGGAGGCTGAGGCGGGAGAATTGCTTGAGCCCAGGAGTTCAAGACCAGCCTGGGCAACATAGCAAGATCTCTTCTCTACACAATCAAAACATTAGCCAGGCATGGTGGCATGTGCCTGTAATCCCAGCCACTCTGGAGGCTAAGGCAGAGGGATCACCTGAGCCCAGGAGTTGGACACTGTAATAAGCCGTGATCATGCCACTGCACTCCAGCCTGGATAACAGAGTAAGACCTCGACTCAAAAAAAAAAAAAAAAGATATAATACGGGCACTGTTCTTATAGTAGTCAAACTTGTTAATGATCATTCTGCAATTGTTATTTTAGCTTTATTTTTGTAGTAATATACCACATACAAAATGCTCATGATTACAAAAGGAGAATAGAAATTAACTATTACATTAGCAATTCCTTGTCTATATAAGACAGCTTTTCCCATAGTTGAGGGTGTGAATTAGATGACTCAAAGAGGTGAAGCTAAACAATTTGGTTATTATATTAGACAAAATAAATTTCTCAAAAGTTATCTGATTTCTAAGAATAAAAGTCATCTGATTTATGAGGAAGAAGAAATGACCTGAGGTGAGCATTAAACACACTCCCGGGCAGTGGTGAATGAACTGGCAGGGTGGTCAGGGCCTCGAAGAACAGAAACAGAAAGATTGTAAACAAGTAGGTCTATGGTAAAGGTACATAGATGGACATATTGATGAGGGCACTGCTCAAAGCTCCCTCCACTGGGAAAATTTCCTTTCACCACTGGCTTTTTAGGTCACGCCTAGTAATGAAGGGCAGTTTGTACCCACATCCTCAGTTGACCCATCTAAAAGCCAAGTCCAAGTTTTTACTTTATTGTCAGCTGGTCATAGCCAGAGAAGGAGCACTGCCCAACACTGGTGGATAGCATGGGCGGGGGGGGGCGCTGGGATCTCTGTTCAAGCAACTTAACTTCTGAGGTTGTTCATGCTCAAGGTCAAATTTACCAGTTCGATATTTGGAAGGATTGTTGCTGGGTCCAACCAACGTTATAATGCAATGGATCTGACAGATCCCAATTCATAATGGGCATTTTTAGATAAATTGTCAATCAACTGGTATCCAGTGGGCAGGTACTCTATCTTCACTAGAGTAGGATGTGAGTTGTTTTTCTTTTCTTTTCTTTTCTTTTTTTTTTTTTTTTTAATTGAAGTCTCACTCTGTTGCCCAAGACTGGAGTGCAGTG